ACTGAGACTTAGTGAGATTAAGTGATTTCCCTAGGGTCATAGTCAAATTGAGTAAATCTTAAGGCTGGAATTCTAACCCAAATCTGTTTTCAAATGTGATGCTTTTATATCCTTTTCATGTATTTCCTTTTTCATATTACAACAGTTTGTGAACCTGTCCAGTCCCTGTTAACTACAATCTCCTTCAGAAGTTTGTCTTAGTAAAATTTAAATTTCCCTAGGGCTTCCCTGTACGTACAATAGGTACTTAATAAGAATTTCCTAAGTAGTAAGTTTAAACATTTGAAGGGAAGTCTTAGAAAAGAAAAATTAGAGTTTTCTGGTTTATTCCATAGGCATAACTCAGGCTAATCAGGCAAACTTACAGAAGGTAAGTTCCAGGGGTACATAATGATGGTCTAACAAGCTGATCTGCCCAATTTTGGGACAGCATATTGTCAAGTAGGAAACTTTGTGCCAAGGCAAGAAGCATGCCTGGAAGGGAAGGATGTCTTCAGAGGGAGCCTTTTTGAGAGGAGACATTCGACTGTGTAACTTAGTCATCTCTTAGTCTAGGGAATTCCTGGATCATCGACTGCTTGCTAGTGTTTTGCTATCTGATTGTCTAGTCCTTTCTATACCCTTTAGTGAACTTTGATATTAAAAATTATTCCTGATGCTCACTGTTGATAAGATCATACTTCTGAATTTTAAAGCAAGAGTAAGATGTAGGGGACATTAAAAAATGGGGTATGAAAGGATACAGGTTTTCAGTCTGCCTTTCTTTCTAAGTGGTTTGAGCAGGTCAGATGTACTTGGAGCCCATGTTTCTTAATTAGGATGATGGGAAAACACTACAGCATTTCTCAGTGATTTAGGTGTTCTAAATTGTTTAAAATAAAAATTTTATAATAGACTTCTTGAAGATACTTTTTAAAAAACAGCTCTACTGAGATATAATTCTCATATAATACAGTGCATCCATTTAAAGTGTCAGTTTAGTGTTTCCACCCCAATCTAATTTTTAGAACATGTACTTGCCTAAAGCCCTGACTAGAACCCCCAGTACAATGCTAAATCCCTATGGTGTCTTCTACATAAGGAAAGAGAGAAGGACACAGGCTTTTCAAAAAGCATCTAGAAAGGGGCAAGGAGGTAACCACAAGGGAAAACAGAAAATAGCAGAGGCATCAGAGAAAAGGAATCCAAGTGAATGCTGATATGTAAGTGGGTGGACTGAAGACATGAATGTTCCTCTGAAAGAAGGGACAAATACAACTTGGCTAAATGGTGTTGGTAATTCTGAGAGAAACAAATGATGAATGCCCAGTGGCTTACAGCTGGAAAGGATCAAGGTTTGGGAAAGGCAGGGAGGCAAGCAATAGTCTGCCTGGTTGGGAACATCTGAGCTAGAACAGTATGGAACACAAGGCAGCTAGGTTGGAGTAGCAGTTGGGACCCTTTTCAAGCACATGTAAATTAGCTCTGATGAATTCAACCAGTGTGCAAAGCCTTACTTCATTTGTGCAGGGACATTTGCAGGGAGAACACTAGCAACCATGGACAAATCCAGTCCCAAAATTTGTCTAAATTTTAGTCCTCTCAGTCTTGTATTTTATTTTATTTTATTGAGAGGACATCTCTCATATTCATTGATCAAATGGTTCTTACCAACAATAAAATTCTGTATAGGGAACTCAAAGCACAGTCATTAATCAACCCCAAGCCTATATCTCAACAGTCTCCAATCTTCTGAAGCATCACAAACAAGTTCTTACATGGTGAACAAGATCTTACATAGTGAATAAGTTCTTACATGGTGAACAGTGCAAGGGCAGTCATATCACGGAAACTTTTGGTATTGATCATGCATTATGACCTATAAACAATCAGGTCAAATATGAATATTCGTTTGATTTTTGTACTTAATTTATATGTGAGTCCCACATTTCTCCTTTATTATTATTATT